GTACGAGCAAAGGCACAACAAAAATTATTCGGCGTTATATAAAATATAGGAAGCTGAAACAGTGTATGTATATAGGCAGTGGACTTGTGAAGCGCTGTAAGTTAAGAATATGTTTTAATATATGAAAACGCCTCTATAAAAAAGGTTTAGTTTCTCCTGTTTTATTGAGCGAACTGGCCACAAACATCAGTAAATGCTAATGTTTTTTTTTTCGGATTTCATTTGTTTTTTATTATTGCGTAATATTGCGTTCATTCATACTACGGAAAATTTTGCCAACTTTTGAATTTGAGTTTAAATTTAGTTTTCGTTTAAATGTTTGCCTTGACTCACTTGTTTTTGGTGTTAAGTGTGAATTGTTTCTGCAAAAAAAAAACTGAGAATGCCAGATCTAAACGCCACTCAAGTTGGCACAACAACAAACATGAGGCCCGAACATTACGGGTATAAAAATCTGTATACACCGAGTTGTCAAGAGGTATCAGCAGACCGGATAGTATACAAGAAGCGTAGGAAAGCGACGTAAATGAAGACCTTTGCCCAGAGATGACCGGTTCATCTTTACCAGCGTGTTTAGAAAGTGGACCTCAAATTCGTCTGAGGTAAGAACTAAGCCTTAAGAAGTTTGGAGGGTTATAAAAAGTACAAAACCTGTTTTTTTTTACAGGATAAGGGTGACAAGCGAGCAAACAGTCCACCTGATGGTAAGCGGACGCTGTGGCCCATAGACATCTATATCTATTCTCATGTGCGAATCAAAATGCATATGCGTTGTCAGCCGTAAGGATAAAGACGGAATGCCTCTTTTCCAGTAAAAAGGGTCTCCGGTTCTCTACACTCACCATACGAAACACAGCGACATTAAGCTGCTATTTTACGCTGGTATTCTGTGAGAGAGTGGTCGTTCCCTGGTCAAGCCGAACCATTCGTGGTACAACTAATATACAATTAATATAGCTGCACCATGGCTCTACCACGATTGCAAACTGTGAGAAAAACACTACTTAAATCGGCCGGAATAAATTCACACATGCCTTACCATAGAGGCCCACTTGCCACATGCCATCGAGTAGCCTGAGTTAATGCAATCACGAAAATTGGAATGGTGAATCTTGGAGTCAAATTCTATTCACATATGAGACCAGATTTCGCCTGAAGCCAGATGGAAGGATCAAGTATGAAGACGCCCGGGAGAGAGGTAGGCCCAGTGCAACATCATTGGTAAAAGGGGGATATGGTGGAGGATCAGTTATGGTATGGGGATGTATTTGTATGGGGATATGTACGAAACTACGCGTCATTGAATGGGTCACTAACCGCGCCACGATATGTAACTGAAATGTTGGTTGAAATTGTAGTGCCATTTCCCCCTTTTATAGGAGATAGATTTGTTTTTGTGCATGTAAATGCACGCCCTCATACAGCGTGCCGTAGTTGTTGAATGCCTTCGAAACGTTGAAATCAATGCTATGGGGTGGCCAGCGAGCTCGCCCATCTTCCTCATAGATAATCTTGGAAAATAAAGATCGCTCAATATTTTAATGATAAGTTGATTAGTTTTATGCCAAAGAGACTATAGTCTTCTAAGCAGATCGAAGAGCTTGAGGGGGCAACACTAAATACTGAATATAACTCATGTTATTGCCTAAGCATTTATGAAAAAAAAAATTAAGTGCAAAAATGTTTATTTCCTGTAAAAGTTTTCGTTTTTTTTAAATTTAGTGGATTTTGTTATTTGATCGTTTATTTTTTCCGACGTTTGCTATTTAAAATTTACGAATAATAAGCAAAATCCAAATATATAAACCTAATTGTCACAAATATCTATTATATTTTGTTTTATATACACTTTTTAGTGGTCCTTTAAATTTTTCCATGACTATATTATATAAATAGCATTTTTCTTAAGAATATAGTCACTTATTTTATTTTATAATAACATTGAATTCAATCGAGGTAGTTAGAACCGATTAAAATTTTACTATTTTTATTAAAAGAAAGTGCACAAGCACTCAAAGTAGTGTTTCGTGTTATAGGTCAAATAAAAACATCTAATAATCATTTACGGATGGCTGTTTAAAAAAAATTATAATGGTTCTATTGAAATTATGTATTAAGCTAACAACAATGTGTAATTAATTGAGTTTCGTAATATTATCCTCATTAAAAAAAATGTGATATATATTACGCAAGTGAACAATGAAATTCTAAGTATGGGATACCTATTAATGTATGAGGTCACTTATGTGAACTGCAAATTACTTTATTAGACTTAGTTTTAGAAATTAGTAGGCTTCATTATAGCGTAAAACTGACAAAAAAAAGCTATACTAAATCACTCTCTTTCAGTATATTATATATTTTCGTCTGTTTCAAAATTTGTAATGCGTAATTGTTTTGAAAAAATATACTTATAAAACCATTCTACTGCTATGCTTGAAAGTAAAATGAAGAAAAAATATTATTTATCCTAAAATATAACTTCTTATATTCTTAAGCAAAATCATTTACATTTTCTGTTGAATTACGACTTTGTACCCGGGAAAAATGTGTTGCGAACCTTGCGGTGGTGGATACTGTTGTAGATGCAGTGGAGCCATTGTCAATCAATGCATTATTGATCTACTAAGATTTGTTAAGTTAATACTAATGATAAAATTGTAAATACTATAATAAAAGAGAGATATCCATCGTTAAGACATAATAATATACTCTGTAACTTCATTTTTTTCAAGTCAGGATTTCTATAATAAACATTTCAATTTATAAAATAGTTTGTATTTGTTACAGGTGTAATTCTTTATTTTTACTAACTCGTGATTCAAAACAAATAATTATGATGAGATTGCAAAAATATTATTGTAATATTTAAATTCAAACTTGAATAATATATTTTGAATACTTAATTATTGTTTACACTGCTTACTAATAAAGTTAATAAATATATTTTTAAATAAAGACCGAAAGTAGAGTCAAATTTGCAATAAAAATATTTTAATTAAAATTCATTCTTCTTAAATAAACGCGTTTCTTGAAAAAGATATACCTACAAACTTTACTCTTCTATCTACTGATGGGTAAAAAAATTACTTGCGTTAAATATCTTCTGTTTATTAACCCTAGAAATATATTTTTATCAGGAAAGGAAATGCTTATTGTGTTCATTTAATTTCAATTTGATTTATCACGGTTATATTTTATATTAAAATATAATGTAAATGTAAATGTATAATGTAATGTAATGTAATGTACAGTGGTAGAGCCACGCGGCAGCTTTTGCTGTCGCACGGATGGGCCGGCTCGAACCGGGGTGGTACCACGACCTCACAGAAAACCAGCGTGAATTAGAGGTTTACCTCTGCGTTTCGCTTGGTGAGTGCAGGAGGCCGGAGGCCCTTTTTACTGGAAATGAGGCATTCCATCTTAGTCCTCACGGGTGACAACGCATCTACATTTTGATTTGTAATAGAGGATAAATGTAGATGTCTATGGGCCGCAGCAACCACTTACCATCAGGTGGACTGTGTGCTCGTTTGTCACCCTTATCCTATAAAATAAAATAAATAAATAATGTAGAGATGTAGAGTTAATATTGACTCCACACCTCCTCTTTTGACTCTGCATCCTATTATCATTATTAGTATTGCCTACTAGATGTACTTATATGTAGTAGAGAAGTTAAAATAACGTCTTGATATGTTAAAAATATTAAAAAATCACTTATTTATAAACAAACATCATAATATTATCACATTAACAGTAACTTTTAGCCTACCGCTGAATAGATATTTAAGTTTGTAACAGTTTATAATTTTCTTTGGGTACCTACGTTAAAATATGTATATAGAGTATATGTATTAATATCTAATAATATACTAATAATCTGTGAAGATTTGCCCATACTTAACATGCTGAGCAGACAGATTGGTACTTTCGAGTAAGTATTCATAAACATAGCTTGTTAATGGACATGATGCTTAAAAAGCAGCGACGGGTTTGTACATGATATCTAATATGTTATTTATATTTATAATGCCGTCTCTTAAGCTTTTTAATTTAGCAATACGTGGTGTCTGAATAATCTTTTTTTGAATAATCAAGAAACAAAAAGATTTCGAGGCATTGGCTTTTGTCAGCAATGTTATTTGATTGTGTTAACTATTTTAGGTATTTGTAACAGTTTATAATTTTCTTTGGGTACCTACGTTAAAATATGTATATAGAGTATATGTATTAATATCTAATAATATACTAATAATCTGTGAAGATTTGCCCATACTTAACATGCTGAGCAGACAGATTGGTACTTTCGAGTAAGTATTCATAAACATAGCTTGTTAATGGACATGATGCTTAAAAAGCAGCGACGGGTTTGTACATGATATCTAATATGTTATTTATATTTATAATGCCGTCTCTTAAGCTTTTTAATTTAGCAATACGTGGTGTCTGAATAATCTTTTTTTGAATAATCAAGAAACAAAAAGATTTCGAGGCATTGACTTTTGTCAGCAATGTTATTTGATTGTGTTAACTATTTTAGGTATAATATGCGTACAACGAATCGCTTGCTTCGTTAATTAATTCATTAATATATAAAGCTACAATTTGATCTCATAGAGGATACTTTGGTACCTACTTATATACATTTTGAAATAATATGTCTGTTGTCGCCAAGTACCTAATATCCAAAGGCAAACTACAGTGAAAAGCAAATAGAGACAATAATCATTATTTAACACAGCAACTCAAGACTCCCACATATTTGCTAATTATGCAAATTCCATTTGCCTGCACTTAACCTAATGTAACAAAGATTGTGAGTGTGTGACCGAGAATATTAGAACCCAAAGATAATGTAATCACTACAATTCGTCACCTTATTTTCGTTATCATATTGGTATAGGTCACGTCTATACACAAAATTCCGTTATCAGAACGCGATGCGCGTGGGCACCATTGCAAACACTGTAGCACGACGAAATAGAGAAAGTACTAACCGGGTTGTTGCGGTGGTAGAAGTGGAGGCATGGTTGGTGGTGGCGGCACTGATGGTGGCGGCGGTGCATAAGGAGATACACCTGGGGATCCAGGCACTGAGTCGCAACTGGCGGAGCCCAACGAGTGTGGGGGCGGAGGTGCTGGTACTACAGGGCTCCGTGGTGCCTTCACTGTAGGCGGTTCCGGGTGCTCCAACTCGATACCGGGCGGTTGCTGGCCGAGTTCTTGTGCTCTCGCCCGCGCTTCGTCTTGAGCTTGAGCGCGACGTAGCGCTGTCTGCATTGCCATCACGCGTTGTCTGTCAGCCGTGAGGCGGCACTTCTCGCACGTGCAGTACCGGTACTTGCAATAGCGCTTGTGGCCCTTCAGCTCGACCTTGAGACGGTGGTTACGGCATCGGGCACAGTTCGGCGGCGCGCGTGGCACTCCCGAACTGGATGCACCGGGTTCGGTGCGCTCGTCGCATTCGTCGGGCGATCGGCGCCTCCACGCACCAACGGACACCATGGCGAGATCACGCTGCGCCGTTTTCCCGACAGCGAGCGTTCGCACACACAGCGCGACGCGCGGTCACGATACGACTGCCGCTGGTCACAGCCGCCCCGCTGCCCCGCACCGCTCCCCTCCCTGCCATGCGCGACTGCATTTATTGCTGTGCACTGCATATATGTAACTCTATGCATTTTACAAACTCAACCTCAAAAACTCGTAAACTACCGTATACATTAAAGTCAATATTACTCCAAACTACTTTGAAAATATAACTTTAATCAACTACATATATCGCTTATCAAAACTACAACAGTGAAGTTGAAACAAATATGGTGAAAGAATTGGTAAAAGTCGGGTATTTTTTTGGTTTAACTTGGACTTTGATAAGATCTCAGGAGTAACCTTTACACATATTTTGAAAAATTTCGGCTATTTATTAATGTTTTGATACTCCACTTTTAAAATGTACTTTATTCTCTATCTCTAGTTAGTAAAGTAGAGCCACGCTGCAGCTACATATTATTAGTTGCAATACAAATGGATCGGCTTGATCAGGGAAGGATCACGCTCTACAAAATACTCTATCGTGAAATAGCAGCTTAATTCTGCTGTGTTTCATAAGGTGAATATGGTGTGGCTGTGTTGTAAGTTGTAACGTTAAAAAACGCAGCAAAGCGACCTCAAAATGATGGCGCTATTCTTTGCGACCTGCGAATGCTTTACAGACCTCACTCAACGTATCGAATTCTTTCATTCTTTGGCAATCGAGTGGTGTATATTTTAAATGTAGATGATAGATATGTAGCTACAACACCAAACTGTACCTATTCCCGATTTTGTTATCAACAGTTTTCTGAATTGGCTCCCACTATTGAAGCAAATTTAAAGACCTTTTTCCTTCAATATTGTTAATGTTATATTTTTTCAATATCGTTACAATAAACCGCTAAATATACAATGTTCAAGAATAATTTATATTACTGCAATGATTTCTTATATTTACGCGAACACTACAATATTTATATTACTGTTTTACACAATTCGCGAAGAGTCAATACACGAATAAATGCCCCGACAGCGTGTTGCATTTCCATCCGATCGCGTGCAACATCGCGTCACACTGATACAACATTATCGTAACCACAAGGCAGTTGTATGTGTGCGCGTTCCGTGTTCTACACCTCAATGTGAGCAAGAACTAAATGCATATTTACAATTACAAAGCCGCGCATTTTTATAAATCGGTAGCTTTTTTCCAATCGCGGATTTACACCTTTTTTCCTTAATTCATACATTACAGCCTATTAAAGTCCACTTCTAAACCTATGCATCTATATTGCCTCATAAGAGGTATATTTAGCCCCGCTTGGCAGGCGGGTTGGCAAAAGCAGTTTTTTATTTTCTACCGACTTCAAACAGGAGGCGGTACTCAATTCGACTGTATGTTTTTTTTGTGTGTGTGTTACCTCATAACTTTTTTCTGGGTGAACCTATTTCTCATGTAGTCCCATATAAATTTGATCAAGGTCTGACCAATAGTTTTTGTGTTAGGGTAAGTCCGGGGGAGATGGCCGTAAGGAAGAGATGGCCACTAAAAAAAATCATAGTTACACTTACTAGATGGCACTACTTTTTACTTGTAAACATGTGGTCCCATATAAATTTGATCAAGGTCTGACTAATAGATAGTACAACAACAAGGTATGATACAACCGACTTCAATATAGATCTTAATAATTTATATTGATGTCGGTTGTACAAAATTTTTAATTTTAAATTATCTAGTTGTAGTTGTAGAAAGAAGTTGTAGAAAGAAGATCTCCTGGTTTGTATTCTTCTGTGGCCTCTTACGACAGCCACGGAACAGTATGGGGTAGTGGATATTCTTAGAGTGCCACTATACCGTCAAGATTTACATAAACTTGTATTACTTATTTATTCAGTTTAAAGCTTTGTATATCGACACACGAATCGAAGAAAACACTATTTTGCACATCAAACTGTATTTTTATATTTTTATACCTATTGTTAAAAGATTTTTCTGCGATATTATTGTAATGGCATGTTTTTTTCACTAAAATACAAATAATCGTTTCTGAAACAATAATGTATTTATAGTTACGTTTATAAATTTTACAGCATTTTCCCATTAATGCAAACATTTATTTGAAATAACACTATAAGAAGTGTCACGATATTCTTTATGAAAAAAAGACGCTGTTTGCAACCGTTTTAGTATATACGAGGGGCACACAAATGATCGGGAATAAGAAAAACCACATGCACGGTATAGCTAAATTGTATTTTATTGTTTGTCGAAGTATTCTCCGTTCAACTTAATGCACTTTTCCATTCGTGCAAACCAATCATTAAAACAGTAATTCCAGTCTGAAGTTGATGTTGACAAAATGGCTGATTTGTAACAGCTGCTTCAGGGTCTTCAAACCATTAACCGCATGATAAATCTTTCATTCTAGAGAATGTAAAGAAATCGTTTGGGCTCAGGTCAGGACTGTACGGATGATGGCTCATCAGCTCAACGTTTTCCCGCTTAAAAAAATCATTTGCCTTCCGAGCCGTATGGGAGTTCGCATTATCGTGACGTAAGATGATGCGATGTTTCGGGTTATTTTTTCGGAGTTCGGCTATCATTTCTGGTAAACAAACCATGATATACCACTTAGCGGTAACCGTTCTGCGTTCCTGTAAAGTAATTGTAACAACATGCCCCTTTTTCGAGACAAACGTAGCGACCATTTTCTTTGACACGCTGCGGGAGCGAACCACTTTCGTTGGTTTGACCTCGTCTTCGAAGACCCAAACTGCTGACTGATGTTTTCTTTTTGGTTCGTATGAATAAATCCATGATTCGACACCTGAGACGATGTTATAAACGGCATTTGACTTCCCTCCGTTGAAGCGTTGCAGAGTATTCCGGCACCAATCTACACGAGCCGCCTTTTGGTCTTTGTCTTTTTTGTCGGACAAATTGTGGGGAACGCAGCGGGAAACTAGCTTTCTTACACACAGCTCATTATGTAATATCGACTGAATTGCAGTCATTCCGATACTGATAACAGCCCGAATCTGCTCGTATATTACATGACGGTCATCTAATATAATAGTTCGCACAGCTGCGATGTTTTCAGGCCTGACCGCTGTTCTTGGTCGAGCTGCAGAAGAAACAGTGCTGAGCGACATACGATAGCGTCGGAACTCGGCATACCAGCGATATATTTTCGTTTGACTTGGTGCTTCAACATCATAAGTCGAAACAAGCTCGCTGAGTCATTAATCTTGAAATAAGCCGCGACAAAAATTGTGATAAATTATAGGACGGAAATTTTCACGCGTGAGCTCCATTTCAGTTAACAACGTGTCAACTTTAAACCAACATAGTTTTTGTTTTTAAACATTTTTTAATTGTTTGAATGTCATTAAGATTCTAAGAGGCCTGTATTCAAATTCTAAAAAAGGTTTTGTTGTAACTCAGTCCGAAATATTGTATTCTCGATACGTTGGTACGTTGTACGAGGGGCACACTGAAATGATCTTGATAATGAAATATCACATATCACTTATATATATGAGGGGCATATCACTTATGAAGTCTCTTCAAACTGTGTCCAATAAATATAAATCAGCCCAAAATTAAATAAAAGAACACATATTGGCTATGGATAATGTGGTAAAGACTTGTAAATATAATGAGGAGCGGTTTGACTCCTTAGTTAAATATCAATGTGAGTGTCAGCGTTCAATGCCAGATTCTTCAGAGTCAGTGTGTGCTGATAATATTAGACCACCACCAAAACTCTATGACAGTGCCATAGCAGAGGATATTAAAATAATAAATCACTCAAATATTACTAAAAATAATATAATTGTTTATAGCGATGACATGGGAAAAAATCTAGGCATAACTTTAAATAACTCTTTAAAGGGACAAAAAGTTACAAATTGCGGCATGCCTGGAGCATCTTTTAGTGACATCCTAAATAAAATTATTGTTACTAAATTTTACCCAAATAGTACAATAATAATTTTTGTTGGTAGAAGAGGCAGTGTAAACAACAAACAGTTATTAAGATATATTGAACAACTTAATAACTTAAATTTACACAAAATTGTCTTGTTCACACACCCTTACATACAGGAATTGCCACAAGAAAATAATTTAAGACATAATTTAAATATACTAATGCATAATTTAATATGTAATAATAATTTAAATTTGACATATAATTGTAATGATAATAATCATAAATTTCATGTAATTGACATAAATAATTTAAGAAAAGTTTTGGACAAAAGATAGGTATTACCTATCCAAATATAATTTAAGACTGATAGCAAATGTGCTCTCTTATTATTTACTTTTTAACTCAGCCAAGTTTTTGGCTACCAAGACTGCTTTTATTGAGCATAATCATTTGACATTTAATTTGGAATCAGTTCCAACTAATTTAAATTAGTGAATGTGACAATAGAGGCAATCTCTAACAATAATAAGAGTTTAATTAATTTTGAATACAGCCCACAAATAATCTTGTAAATTTATTCTTAGAACCAACACGTATTGCTGGGCCTAGTGCGACCTGTATAGATAACTTTTTTACAGATGTTAAGCCCTTGCATAAATCAATTATTCAAAATTTAAGTTCAGATCACTGTGGACAGTTGGTATCACTACCTTACATACACAAAAAAAAAACAGAAAAATAAGAAAGTTGTGTTTGTTCCAATAAATGAACATCGCTTAGAGAGTTTTAGAAGTAATATAATAAAAAGACTTCCATCACTTTCGTTTAAAAATAGTGCTAATTATTTGTATGCTACATTATTTAAAATTATAAGTTGTGAATTTAGTAGAATATTTACTTCTAAAACTTTCTCTTTTAACAGTCGCAAATCATTTGATGAATGGGTGACAGTAGGAATTTATAAAAGTAGGCGAAGGTTATACGAGCTTTATGATGAAAGATCATATAATAGTAGGTTATATTTAGAGATTA